TTTCCCTACTTACTCCCTCTATCAGGAAGTTTTACACCCTTCCATGCTTCTGGAGCACGTTGATGCCAAACTTAGTGCACTCCCTGTTGATCCTGGTCCCTGCAGGCTGCTGTTCAGCACATCTTCTGCGAACAGGGACTGGGAAGGTTTGTGCTGGGTACTAGGTTGCAGGGATCACAGACCCAATTCTCTACTTGGGTACAGCAGTCAGGGCAATACTGCTGCCACACATGAAAGCTGCTGGCATAAACACCTCACTGTATTACTCAAGTTTTTCTCTCATGTGAGTACAAATTAAAATGCCAGGAAAATGCAATTTCAGCATGAGAAATCAAACTTTTTAAAAAAATAAATTAATAAAGCACAGTTAAGTTCCTGTTGGGTAGGGGGAGATGGGAGGCAGAAGTACAAAAAAGGAGAAAGGCTGAAGGCAGCAGCAAGGGGAAAGAAGTAAGTAAAGATTAAGGATGGAAAGGAGAAAGTTGAAAGGACAATCTTCTCTCTTGCATGAAGTCACCCATATTTTAGATCTTAGTCTGCTCTCATCTCTGTACTAGTGTTGCCAGCTACTCCCTCTGGCACAGCAGAACAACACAAACTTCACTGGCACTCATTCCACAGACAGAAAAGGCAAAGGCAATGACAAAGGAGCATGGCAGTACAATGGCTTAGGTATCAACAGCCTCACATCTGCTGGCACTTCAACCTGAGTGAAGAGTTAGTAACATTGACATTAACTGCTGTTGTGGTTCTTCAGCCCCAAAGGTTCAGACTTCTCCAGAGCCCTTTTCTTGCCTGTCTGGGAACACATGCTACTTCTGGCCCCCACTGCCACAAGGTGCAGGGCCTAAAGGAGCTGCAACAGTCTTCCCCATCTAAAGATAATGTTAATTGCAATACTAATGGAAAGCAAAATCAGAGTACTGTTCCCCCAGCTCCCTTGGGCACCGAGTTATCAGAGCATGGCTGCTGCCCATCCATGGTGCCCCACGACTCCTGCTGGCACCCCTCTGCCCTGCAGCAGCTCCAGCTCTTCCTTAGACCCTGCCACCAGTTGCTGAGCAAGGACCTCAGCCACCAGTACCACACCAGATAGCTCAGGGTGCCAAACTGTCCAAACAGCTCTTAAGGAAAGGAGACAGAAAAAAAACACATTAGAAAAAAGGTACCAAGCTGCTTCAGACAAAAATTGTAGAGTTGCCAGCCTGAATTTCACAGAAGGAATGCTGCTGTTTCCAGTCAGGTACTTGGTAAGATCTGTCTTCTTCAATTCGCTAGTTGTTTTTTTTTAATATGGGAGGCAGAAATCAGCTCACTTACAAAAAAAAAACAAAACAAAAAAAACCCACAAAAACCCCCAACAACCCAAAAAACCCCAAACAACCAAACCTAAACCCCAAAACCTCTCAAAGTGAGGTTTTGCAAGAATACACAAGTTTTACTGATGTTTTCACCCCAACAAGAATGGACCAGATGTTCCTAAAACCTCTCACCAGTCAGGACTTGAGCTCAAACCACTGCCCTGCTGCTCTGCTGACTTCAGTACCTGGAACAGAACTTCTGCCTTGATGAGTACCTGCACTGAAAGGCCATCATGCTTTGTCCTTGTTCTCTGATGGGAGATCTTCCCTTTCTGCCAGAAATGTGCCCTTAGTATTGCACGGAGGACAATATTTTGTGTGAGTTTTCCTTTAAGCCAACAGCTAATTTAATATAAAAGATCAATAAATATCTGGAGAGAGTTTCATACTCTCTTTAAATGACTCTGGAACATGGGAAAGCGATGTATGAGCCTTAGAAAAGGCTGCTGAAACCTTCTTAAATGGCTCCTTTCAGCACATACACCCTCCCTGAAAATCTCAGGAGAGACACTGAGGGGTTCCTCTATCCCCTCTCAAGTGACAGGATCACAGTCTGAAGAGTCTTTTTATGAAGAATGAATCTATTATTTTTAAAAATAATTTAAAAAGGAAAAAGAAAAGAAATCCATGAAAACAGGGAAAAAGATGTAGTGTACTTCAGTGATTCAAGTTTCAACTTCAGCTTTAGCAACTTCAGACATGATCTCACTCTGCTACACTACAATAAATTACATGTTTCATAAGGTGCATCCCTGATCCTACTTCCATCTTTTATTTCATTGTCAGTTCTGGGCTTACAATGATTTAAAAAAAAAAAAAAAAAAAAAAGTCAAGTGACACATTCTAGCTGATTCTTGCTCCCAAATTACACATTTCTACAACCGGAAATGCAAATTATTTTCAGTGCTGGGAAACTGTTTCTGCTCCAGATCTACTAGCACTGGAATTTGGTTGTATTTACAGAAAAAAAAATCAAGGCAGAAACAAAGTTTCCCTCCCAATGTCTCCCTAACAGCTGCTCTGCATCTGAATCCACCTGTCAGCCCAATAGCCCCAGACTCCTTCCCTAAGGCCAAGCAGAAGCAGGGGAACCACTGCAGGCAGAGCCAGCCAGCAGCTTGGAGAGGAGGAGGTTGAGGGGAGACCTCATTGCTCCCTACAACTTCCTGAGAGGAGGTTGTATGGAGGTGGGTGTTGGGCTCTTCTCCCTGGTGACCAGCGACAGGACAAGAGGAAATGGGGTCAAGTTGCACCAAGGAAGGTTCAGGCTGGATATTAGGAAACATTTCTTTCCAGAAAGAGCGGTGAGGCCTTGGAACAGGCTGCCCAGGGAGGTGATGGAGGCACCATCCCTGAAGGTGTTCAAAAAAGGGGTAGACGTGGTGTTTAAGGAGATGGTTTAGTGGTTGTGGGTTGTAGGGTGGGTGGTTGGACTTGATGATCTTGAAGGTCTTTTCCAACCTTCATGATTCTATGGTTCTGACTCTATGCTGGAGCTGAGGACTGTGGCCAGGCTGCTGCTGGGCTGCACACAGAGCAGAACACAGAATTTTGTTGCAAATTCTTTGCCAGTTTCAATTAACAAGAATCTCCAGCCTGAGCATGTGAGCCTTGTTTTTTTTTCTACCCTTTTGGCAACACTGGGTCTTTCTGGAGCCCTTTCTAATACCTGCTTCTCCCTGCTAAAAGCAGAGAATGCTTTTATGTACTGGAACTTAGCTGTACCCTGCCTCTCATGCCCTGAAGAATAAAACTATTTCAAGACTGTTTTCATTATATAAGGATGTAGTTAGAGTTATTTCCTTTTTTAATATCTGCATTTAATTAATTTTTAAATCCTACAAAATCTAGAGTTCAAATAATTTGATGATTATTTTCAATTTTTGTGCCTATTATGTATACATAATTTGCACATTGTGTCAAGGAATGTTTTGATAAAATTATAAATATACATGTCCATTTCATTCAACTTTGTTCTTGAGTCATAAAATGCCATAAATGACAAAAAAAAGTGTTTTCTAAGTAGTTAGCTGAAAAACATAAAATTATCACCTTAAAAAAATATCAACATCTTTTCTATGGGCACATCACCACGTTGCCCTCAGCATTTTCCTCTTTCTTCATTTGCATTTGAAAAGGTCTCCAAAATTAAAATAAGCTTTATTTTCAAGGAAACTTGGCATTTTCTGATTAAGTTTGCATCAGGTTTAATTTGGGAATGTAGCATTAATACAAACTTTTTTGCTGAATTCCTGTGCTATTATGTTTGAATTATACAAATTTAACTTCATATCATACTGTATTAATAACAGCCCTACTCAAAACTTCTGTGACATTGTAAGTTATTGATAATACAGACAGTACTGAAAACATCTAAGATGTCTGGACAGCAATTTTTAACTCAAGATATGTTTCCCTACTATACACACTGTTAAATTAAGAATTTTTTTAAATGCTTCCCACCTGTAGAGATGATGGATCATGGGACCTTTTCAAGATCTTGAGCACAAGAAGAAAGAAATACTAGATACACTGCAATAACCACCACCCTGATTCTGTCATTACAATAGTCAATTTTAGTTTCTCCAGAACAGGCTTGAAATGGTCTGGTTTTCCAAATATAACAAGTAATTATTAGGCACAATTTTTGCATAGAAGCTTTATAGTTTAAGCATACATAACTATTCCTTTTATTACTGTTGCCTGTATGATTGCAGTCAATTATATGAACACCACATTGTACTAACAGCACATCTCTCGATAAATATACTAAGTATAAGCTTTATTGTTTCCATTATTAATTAAAAACTTCACCCTGAATTTTTGAGATCACCAATTTGTTTGATATGTTCATTTCTAGCCTTTTAAAATGTACTTACTGGTTGTTCAGGTAAGTCTTGTGGCTCTTCCATGGGTATTACTATTCTGATGCTTCAACGATTCAAATCGTCTGTTCCTCACCAGTCTTCAAAGCCTGTCAAAAAAAGGTGTTCATAGCTTTATGTACTTTTTTTGGGGCTTATCATTTAGGCTATCAAAGAACATTAGTTATATATTCCACACACATGCTTTCTAAACTCATGTTGCCATCTTCCAAGTACAAGGCAAAATTCATATATGGAAAGATTTCATAAACAAGGGATTTAGTTTTAAGCTTCAAGATACAAACAGACTCTATTACACACATGGCACATTTTTGTCCCATTTACTTGTACCATACTGACTACAGAAGCTAATGTATCAATCAGACGTGCATCATGACTTTAAGGACACTTTGAACGATCAAGTGTGGTCTACTAGGTCAGTAAACAGTGTGATTCAATCTAACCTGTTTTAATTTAGAGCATACATATAACAAACACCAAAAAAATCAGGACAAGACTGCACACCTCAGTGTATCTACATGTATTACTGTTTATTGCCAAATTCACAAAGCAAGTTTATTATTTCAACTGCATCTTCCAAAAAAGAAGTTTGATGAAAATGTATAAAATATTTTTTATTTTGGATGCTAAGTAACCTAGTGGCATAGAACACATATCCAGTATACTATACAAAAGAGCTGCTATTTGTCAGGGTTTTAAAATGATGAATAAGAAATTTTGGAGACTATTTTCACAACCTGACACATTTTTGCAATTTACTGAGCAAAAAATAAGGCATGTGTTCTCCAAGGCTTCCCCATCTCTTTGACCCCTGCTCACAAACTCTGACCTACACATTTGATTGCTCTTCTTTCACCTTCTCATCTCAGAGCTGGTATACTAAGAAGCCCTAACCTCTTGGGACAAGATCCATCTCAACTGCACCAAAAGCAAGTAGGTGCTTTCTCTGCTATCCAAGCAGAGCTGCCTCTTCCATACACACGTGTGCACTACTGCACATGGAGTAGAATCTAAGTGGATTACAAAAAATTAGAAGAAATGCTGAAAAACATTTTAATTATTAAACACAATTAAATTAAATACAACAATTTCTGTGCTGAGATACAACCTATTCCTGCCTCCACAGTTTTGCTGTAAATCTCAGTGGATGCTGCTTTCCCGGCTCCCTCTCTCTATGCCTTCCTGTTCTCTCATCCTGTCTGGAGCACTCAGGCACCTTCACATCACAGAACTGTCCCCATGCTCAGTGACTAAACAAGTTAACAGAAACAACTTCCTGGTGTCCTAAAAACAACTGCTGTTCCACCTCCTGGCTCCTGCCAGACCTACTTAAACTCAGAACACGTGCAGCCAGATGGCAGGGCAGCACCACGTGCAGAGCATGGGGATGCTCTGACCTGCAATCATTTCTTATTAACCACGAAAACACAAAGGATTTATTCTCCCTTATTTGAGGTCAGGTAAAGGTGTACACATGTCAGGTGTATCACAAACGCCAGGGTAAAATTTCATGGAGGATTTGGGAATGTTCCAAAGCTGCCTCCCCTAATCAAAGCTACTTTACTTACTTAACTGCAGATCAACTGAATTTACAGTAAGTATCTTCAATAATTCAGGTTCTTTTTGAAATTACCCTGTTCACACCACAGACAAGAAAGTAAACAATACAAAGTGCTACTGTCACCATTCCAGTTTTTCCTCTACCAGTTTTAATTGGTTTTATTTTAAATAGAGAAGCTTACTTCCTTTTTACTTTTTGTAGAACTAATGGAGAAAAATCAATACTTTAGAGAAACTGTGGCACTCAGATTATGAATAGGAGCATAGAATACAACGGCTAACAGAAAGGATAGTCGAAATTGATACTAACAGATCCTGTCCAAGTCTCTTGTTCTTTATTTTTGTTTTTTGACACTGTTTCTTTGTGTAATTTCTTAGAAAAATCACAAACTAAACTCTTCAGTATGGAAAGAGATTTCACTTTGATCCATACCACAATAACTTCCCATTCCATGCCTTTTTTTTCCCATGCAGTTCTTTAATTTTGTTTTTGAGAAAGATCTAAATACTTAGATAAGCAAAAAGATTCCCAGTCATATCACTTGGTTACACTAGTGAAGAAAACTCTCTTCCCAAATGAGTAATGTGTCTTGTAGCACCTGGAAGTGAACAAACCAAACCAAATGAGCAGTAAGTGGCTTCACACTTTCTTCTAGGGATCACTCCACACCTCCAGAAATGGCAGCTAGGACAGAAGACATCTGGCAAAGACCTAGTGCTCATGGCTGTTGTTACATAGAAGCAGGCAGAACATGAAGCAGGATCCATTTCTGGGTGAAAGGAATGTACTTAACCCCAGCAGCCCTGAGTGATGAGGTCTCTCTCCAGCAAAGGCCTCCTACACCACAAACAGTTTAAGCTGCTGCTGAATGAAGAGATCTTGCTTGTCCCTTCCTTCAACAAGCCACTCAAGCCACCAAAGTGCTCATGTGGCTGAAGAGCAGTCTGGGATCAGACCTTATTCTAAGGAAAAAGAAAGCAGTACACCCAAGCAAACCCTTTTGCTAAGCTGCTTTAAGCGGGATCAGCTCTGGTCTCACACAGCCCTGTGCCGAGGGGAGCCAGGACAGGGAACAGGCAGAGCACACAAGTGAGGCAGCAGGATGCCCCTTTTCAGTGGCAGCCACAGTAAATGAAACCAAAATGTTACTATCTTATTTATGTTTCACTTTGGCAAAAGAGAGGACGTAAGTCACTGTGAGATATATAGATATATATATATATATATACACACATACACAGAGCTCCACAGCCTTTCAACCTGAATTACAGAGTCATCAAATGGCTTGAGTTGGAAGGGACCTTAAAGATCACACAGTTCCAAGCCCTTGCCATGGGCAGGGACACCTCCCACCAGCCCAGGTTGCTCCAAGCCCCATCCAGCCTGCCCTTCAACACTGCCAGGGATGGGGCAGCCACAGCTTCTCTTGGCAACTTCGGCCAGTGCCTCACCACCTTCACAATGAATCATTTCTTCCTAATATCTCAATCTCTCCTCTTTCAGTTTACCCCTTATCTCATCCCTCCCTGCCCTTGTCCCAAGTCCCTCCCCAGCTTTCCTGGAGCCCCTTCAGGCACTGGAAGGTGCTCTAAGGTCTCCCTGGAGCCTTCTCCTCTCCAGGCTGAACACCCCAACTCTCCCAGCCTGTCACTAGAGCAGAGCTGCTCCAGCCTCCTGATCATCTTTGTGGCCTCCTCTGGACTGGCTCAAACAGCTCCACGTCCTTCTCATGTTGGGGGCCCCACAACTGCCACAGGACTTCCTGTGGCCAGACACAGAAAGCACTTGGGCCATGAGCAAGGCAAACCCTCTCCCTGCCATCCCCTCTGGGAGCACAAAGGCAGGGAAGGATCTGCCTGAGTGAAGCTGCTTGGAGCTGCAGCGATGAAGCCCCGGGGAGGAGGATCCAGCTGCGCTCATTTCCCTCACAGCACCCTCCAACATGGCTAATCCGCTGGGGCAGGCACACAGCCCAGGGCAGCAATCTGCCAGACCCAGGCACCCCTGGGTGCTGAGAGCCATCTTCTTGCTCTGCAGGAGGTATGTGCTCACCCACTGCCCAGGGCTTGGGTTCCAAAAAAGCCCCTGCACCTCGGCTCTGCTGTGCTGCAGCCAACTTTGTGCATTATCTTAGGTAGCAAGCTGCTCCTCTTGAGCAAAGGTGATTTTTAGAAACAGGGGATAAATAACATGGATTGGGATGAGTGTGTGTATGTGCAAATCTCCAAACTATATTCTTAACTTATATATAAATCAATGCAACTGTGTTTGAGATAACCTTATCACACCGTTTATATTACGGAACATTATTGTAAGTGATCACAAGAGATCAAAGCAGATCTTTGATATCTCCGGGTCCAGAGTCCGAATTCCTACATGTGCACCACATCAGAAGTGAACTATGCCTGAGTGCCAGGGCATCTACCAGGCAGGGAACAGCCACCACTGGCAGCCCTATTCCCCATCATCCCTGCTCCCCATGAGTCCTGCTCCCATCAGCCCTGTTCCCATCAGATCTGTTCCCATCAGCCCTGCTCCCTTCCAACACATAGCCACAGCTTCCTAAAAGGGACTGATGATTGCTAACCTCAGAGGAGAAGTTATCAGTGACAGGTTTGAGGGCAGCTGGACTTTGGTCACTTTTTCCATCTGTCTTTTTTTTTGTGAGAGGGAGTTCCAAAAAGTAGATTCTGGCAGTGAGAGTACTGCTGTGGGCCACTGAGCTTGTGAATGAGAAAACCAGTACAAAAACTAACTGAGTGTTCAACAAGTCATCAAATGAGTTGCAGCAATGAAAGAAAAGTTCAGAAAAATTAGTCAAGTGTTATTTGCTGGAAACCAGCAAAATACCACACACTTTTTTCCCTTTGGGGGGTGTTTTTCATTATTTACCTGATGAAAATTAATTGGTAATATATCAATTAAACAGCATTTTTTATTTACTCTAGGCTTGTTTTGAACAGCCATCCTGGACTAATTCCAACTTGCACAGAACACCAATAGTATAGAATATCAAGAACAGGTGTTTTGCACATTGTTTTATTTTGCTTGCTCAATTTGTAGACATGTTTATCTAAACTTCGAAACAGAAGGCATCAAAGCAGAGGAATGGATCACACATCCATTCATCACACAGTCCAGTTGCCTGCCTTCGGTTCTGCACAAGATCACTATGCCAATAAAAGCCCCAGCAAGCTACATACACTTTCTTGCACTAAATCCTGTTAAAAATATCCTAAAAGGCAAAGTCTAGCTTGGTCAGACTCTCTTGAACTAGATACAGCAGATACAATTTCGGAAAGCTACCCACTATGAGCATTAGGCTGGACTGCTATTTACTTTAATTTTGTTTATTTCAAGCCCATCTGCCTTGGCTTTGAAGATAACATTTCTGCTGAGGAACAGTTCTTCTGTTGAGCTGCAAATAGTTAAAGTCAGGGATATTGTGATAAACCCAACAGGCAGT